TGTGCGACGCTCTCCCCCCCGCCTGGTTCCGGCTCTTGGCTGACGTTGGGGAGGATGGGGACCGCCCGGCCGTGGTGGCCCTTCACCTCTTCACCCCCCGGGTCTTCATCACCGTCAAGAGGGGCAAGAAGGTCTGGGTAGGTTGTCCCCACCCGAAATGTCCCCCCTGGTCTTAATTTTCACCCAAATCCATGGTTTTCCACCAATTTACTGCAAAGTCCATCAATATCATGCGAGGGAAGCGCCTATGTGGGCTGTCCTTCATCCCACCATCATCATCAGGTGTCCACACGCTGGCCCGTCGCTTCCTTTTGACCAATTCTGCTCTTTTCCCAACGATTTCACATGAAGGAAGCACCCCCACGCGTTGTCCTTCATCCCACCATCACCTGGAGAACCTCCGTGCACCCGCCCAACCCTCCCTTTGGATTCAAATTGTCCTTTCTTCTCCTCAATTTCATGCCAGAGGAGGCTGCGCAGGCGCCGTCCTTCCTCCCACCATCATCGCAAGGCCTCCTTGCGTCGGCCCGGCCCCTCGTTTTAACCAAAATCGCCTTTTCCCCCACCGGTTTCCGACGGAGGAAGCGTCCGCACGCGATGCTCTTCTTCAAGAGGCACCCACGCGTTGACCCGCTCCTTTGTTTTGACCAAACCAGCCCTTTTTTTCCAGCAGTTTCATGCAAATGAAGCACCCACGGGTGTTGGCCTCCATCCCCACCACTGCTGAGAGGTGGCCAAGCCTCCGCTTGGCCCTTGATATTGACCAAAATTGCCCTTTTTTTCCCCAGTTATTTAATGTAAATGTGATATAAGGGCACCCATGGGTGCCGTCTTCACCCCAGACCCCTCTCCCAGCCCCACGGAGAGGATCCAGGTCCTCATCCCACCTCCCACCCCACCCCCCAGGCAGGAACGATCCCCGCGAGATCAACCCTCACCCCCATCTCCACCCCATCCCGGGGCGATTCCCGCTGTCTCTCCATCCCTAAAACGGAGAGATTTCACCCCGTTTTGGGCCACGGGTGTCTTCTCCAGGTCAACGGGGTCCCAGCCACCCTCCCTGTGGAGGTCTCCAGCACGTTGACCATCGCTGAGACCCGGGAAACCATCTGGCTCACCCAAAAACCCGAACTCGTCGTCGGCTTCAGCCCCGCCGGGGAGGGGACGGGGACGGGCCAGGACCTGAGCAAGCGGCTCTGCGGGATCTGCGGGAACTACAACGGTGACGCGGCCGACGACCTCCGAGGGCCCGATGGGAAGTTGGTGGGGGCCGTGGCGGCCATGACCAAGGCCTGGAGAGCACCCGACTTCACTCACGTGAGTGGCCCCAGGAGGCGACACCGCGTGGCTTGGTTTCGGTGATCTTTGTCGTCTTCTGTGTCCCAGCTCAGTCTCAGTCATGTCCCTGTGGGCCTCGGTGCCACCACCATGAAGAAATGTCCCATCAGTTGCTCCCATCCCTTCAGATTAACCAAAATTGCTGGTTTTCCACCAATTTAATACGAGGGGGGAAGAGCCCAAAAAAGGAGGGGAATGCCCCAAAAATGGGGGAAAAGAACCCAAAAAGGAGGGGAAAAGCCCCCAAAAAGGGGGAAAAGGACCTGAAAAGAGGAGGAAAAGCCCTAAAAAGCGGGGGAAATAGTCCA